AAGAGTTAAAACATTTGGAAGAGTTAAAAACCACATCCAAGTTTAGTGGCTGAGGCCCATCTGTGTGAGCCAGGGATGTGCAAAGTTAAACCAACTTTAAACAGTTTGAGCCTCAGTACCAGAAGCAACACACCCACCGAAACAACTGGCTTATCTCAGATGCGAGAAGAGTCAACATCCCCCTATATTTCAAGGGACTTATGACTGGGCTTCCCCTTTTGATTTTTATAGCAGCATCACTGCACTCCTACAGTTCAGACCGTGAGAGACCCAGGACTCGTAAAAAGGTTCTTTGAAACATTCCATCAAGTTCAGCAGAAAGTCAGGGCAGTTAAACAAGCCTGGGAGTACAGAAGAGAGAAGTAGGAGGTTAATAAATAGCACACTCCACAGGTTTATGGACAGTGAATTATCTCCCTACAAAAAAGAAACCTTAAGTGTATTACTGCAAGTTATTGGAAGTGAATAACTCCCTTTCATGAACCTCACTGCCTCCATGCTGACTCAGAGTGATGGAGCGTTTAATCCATATTTATGTACATCTTATCTCATTACATCTGGTGCCAACAAATTGAAGAGCTATGCAAGAGCTAAGCTTTATGGTATTACTGTCATTAAATTAAATGCACATATGTACAGCGCAAAAACACAAACGTACTTGGGCATTATTTTTGTTCCCTTTGCTATTACAGACCGGATTCTTCAAAGGACTGAACAGTCCCATTGCCTTCAGTGGGTGTTAAGGGTGCTCAGTACCTCTCAGGAGGAACTCAGTGCATTGCAGGACCTGACCCTAAATTGAAAACAGCGGTGTGCTTCTTCCATCAGAATCCCACACCCACGGCTGCTGCAGTGAAGACACACGCACATGGGCTGAGCTTTTCAAAAGTGACTATTGATTTGGCAGGCCCAACTTGAGACACCTTGCAGAGGTCTCATTGTACAGAAGGTGCTGAGCACCTGCCCTCAGAAAATTAGGCCTTTTTAAAGGCATCTCATCAGACACCCAGAATTGAAACGCCCAAAAGTCGCTTTTGGAAATCTCAGCCAGGATCTTGGCATGTCACTGTCATAATATTATTGCTTAACAGCAGGGTCTAAAAACAGGGGAAAAGCCCTGAAAGCCAGCAGACCCCCTGATCGAAAGCAATTCTTTTGGGTAATTATGACACATGGCAAGAAAAACTATGCAACACCCAAGAAAAATACGCATCTGTTTGCTTAAGTCCTGCATTCCAGCATACCACGATGACAGCAATGGGACTTCTCACTTCTGTAGCTCTTTCTGCCTTAGGACTCCAACCAAACCTTTTACCAACCTCAATCCAACTTCAACAACCTGTGAGAGAAGCCACTAAAACTAGCACAGAAGTGACTCGCCCCAGGTCCAACTGCTAATGAACAGCAAAGACAAGACTAGAACTCCCGACTTGCAAGGTTTCACTTTTAACCACCAGACTATGCGGTGTCTTCGCAACCGAGAGTCAGCCTGTAACGGCAGATCCGTCTGTCAGATTCTCCAAGCAAATGCCCACACCCTCCATAAAAGGAGTATTTCAGTCACTGAGGTAGGACTTATTTCTTCAGCAATGAAACAACAGGGCAACTATTTTCAGTTCTCTGAAGTCCGGAGCCTGATAAAAGAGGGAGACAGATCTTTGACCCTTCAGGCTGCCCGGACAGATGGAAAGCTGGGCTAACAGGGCAGCTGGGAAACCCCATGCACTATGAGGTGGCCTAAAGCCAGAGATCCTGGACTGAGGAAAAATCCTCTTGGGGGCCATTCTAGCCAGTGCAATTAAAGCAGCCCCAAGGCTGCTTTCATTCTTGCCAGGGAATGACCGAGCTCTCAGGGTTATAGCAGTAGAGACGGGTGGAGCGCAAGCTAGGAAGCCTCCCCACGTGCACTGAGCTCAGACACACCCAAGCATCTGGCCCTAAGAGTTAATGACAATGTAAATCTAAGGTGTAATTCACAGTGGGGGTCCCTCAGGCTCAGAATAGGAGTCAATAGGAAAATGGACACAGCAGTAAGTCAGCGGATGTAAAATCGGCGGTGTGCCACTGAAATCCGTACTGCTTTAGACCAGCTGAAGATCCGGCTCACGATATCTAAAGGAGCAAAGCATCAGCTTTGGAAACGTAGCCTGTCGGGGGGAAGGAGGGAAGAATTTGAGCGTTCTTTTAGGATTTTTCTTATTGTAAAGAACCCAGATATCCATCTGAAACCTCCTGCACAGATTAAATGGTAATGCCCCTTTACTTACAGGCAGCCTGTGAAGGTCAACAAGTAAATACAGAATAACGACATGCCCCTGCCTTTTTACTTGATAATTACCTTTCAGCAAGTCCAAAAGTTATTAGTAATCATGACCTAACTGGCCTTCTAGTTTGGAGGACAGGAATAGCTATAAGTGATAGCTGAAAACGGAAACACCCCACACTGTTACTCTGTGCTTACCGTATAATTAAATGGTCAACCATTACTCTGCATTGTATATAAAAGGCTCTTATATGGCATAAGTGTCCTGTATCTGAAAAGTGTTATTGATCTAAGTAATGAATGGGCTCCACGAAGAATTTTGTGTGTATGAAGTCTGCATTTGGCAAGTGGGGATCTAAATTAAAGACTCCTTTGCTCTCTCCGGAGTTATACAATTTGTGATTCAAAATGGAAAGTCATGTCCCACGTTATTTAACCTCTAGTTTGCTTTCAGCAGAGGCAGAATGATGTCCTAGAGACCAGTCACAGCTAGACAGTGAGTGAGATAGAAAAGGAATGGGATGATATGCAGCTGGTATGGTCTCAAAGGGTAAAAAAGCAGCTCCAATTAACAACTTTGCTGAGCCATTTGGTACCATAAACTGCAACAAACAAAATGTGAAAGCAAACCAGCATTCTATACAACAGTTCTTCCCCCAGCCCAGCTTCTGCGTATCTGTAGTCTCAAAACAACAAGAGTCCCCTTGCGGTTCATAAATCATGAACTCATAAAACAAACTCCTTCAATTGCAAGTTCCAGATAATAGTCCCCAAAATAAATTAGGCAATAAATATAATATAATCTTTCCCCATCAGCCGGTGGAAAACTACTCTTCAGATAATCAGGAAAGTGGATGCCTTCACATAGCATATGCCTTGTAGCTCAGGAAAGATAAAGTAATGCATAGCTCCTAAAAGAGCTGAGTGACTTCTTAACACCAGTATCGCCCAAAGAATAGAATATACTGCCTTGTGTGTGAAGGCTTCCCTAGACCCGATATCCATCAAAGTAACGTTAGAGTGCTAATGCCATTGAATTCTAGTAAAAGGGATATCAGACAGACACGCTCTTGTCAAAACCATTCAGAAGCTCCCTTCCACCTGGGCTTCATCCAGAATTCAGTGCTGCCATTAAACACAGAAAAAGGAAATTCTCCCTTTGCTCTCTCAACTATGTGACACACAGCACAAATAAAACAAAATTATTGTCTGGGGGCTATTGGTTGGAAAAGTCTCTGGAGAAATTTTTCAAAAGCATCTAGGGGATTAACTAGCCCAAGCCTGAAATCTGCTCACCATCATGGAAACAAACTGGTCTATATAGATTTGGTTATTGTATCGCAAGTGCACCCAGAGGCCTCAACCGAGATTAGGACCCCACGGCACTAAGTACTGTATGTACACCTATCAAGAGACAGAAGCAATTGCAAATCTAAGGAGACAAAAGGGAAGGGAAACAGAGATGTGAAGTAGCTTGCCCAAGGTGAGCCACCAGGCCAGTGGCAGAATAGGAAGCAGAACCAAAGACTCTTGAGTCCCAGAGCTCTGCCAGATCCACTAGACCCACTGCCTCCAATAACATCATCTCAGTAAATAATTATATATTTTTATGAGCAACCATTACAATATTTTGTTCCCCAAAAAGGAAATCTGTCGTGTGCCTGGGAGATGTCACTCATCAGCTTACTTGGTCTAGGTGAACAGGCAAGAAGAATTTTGAAAGGATGCTCAAACTCCTGTAGAACTGGATCTTTGAGCTGAATTGTAAATTGCTCCCAGCATACATCTGCCTGACATGTGCGTGTTGTGAGCTGTAGCTCACGAAAGCTTATGCTCAAATAAATTTGTTAGGCTCTAAGGTGCCACAAGTACTCCTTTTCTTTTTACCCCTGAGTGGGTCATCAGCAGTAGAGACTGAACCAGTATGGGGACCTGTGGGTTCGGTTGTGAGCTGGATGAAACCTTGCTGTGCGTTGAGTTAAAACCTTGTTGAAACTGATGGTGAACGAGTCCTCCATTTAAGACAGCTGTAAGAAACGGTTAAGGGGCACCACCTAAAACACAGCCTAGCAGAGTCTGCCAGAAACTAGCCCCATGGGGACAGAAGGGTCAAGTGGGTATTGTGACCAAGTAGGTGTGTGTCTGTCAGAAAACACATAGAAAGAAACCGAATAGGCAAGATTGCGTGTGCACGGGGGGGTGGGGGGGTGGGCAAGAAAACCAAGCAGTAACCTGTGAGCACAGTGTCACCCTGGGGCTTGCAGGGCTGTAAACTAAGAAACAGCTCCTTTTTGTTCTTGCTTCCTTCTGCATTCAGAGACACAGTATGTTCCTTGTCAAGAAACAAGACTGCAAGAAATACCTGGCTATGACCAAGTTTTACTCCCAGCTGGAACACCCACAGAGCCCTGAACTTTGACGAGCCACTCGGGTCAGAGAAAGTGCACCAGTTCTAAAGCAGGAGCCTCTACACAGCCTGAGCTTAGCAGAGGTGGCTCTGCAAGTCAAGGATGTAGCAGGCTCATCGATCGATTGCAAGACCCAGCCACCACCAGGGGCAGGGGAGACAGAGTGCCACACAGAGTGGGTGTGGGTTGCACGAGCCATGCAGAATCCAAGCTGGTTGTATGTCCTGCCCAATGCTGGGCCGATCATTTCGAAAATGGTCTGGGCTCCCAGCAGCAGTAAAAGCGCTTTCAAACCCCTTTTTCGACACAGATTAGGAGTTAACTTTTACCTTTCCAAAATCCCGCACGTCGAAGAGGTCAAACGGGTCAAACAGCTCACTGTTCCTTAATCCAAATTTGTCATGACAGACTTTCAAGAACGTTCGAATGTTCTTCAAACAGAGGAACTGCAAAGAGAGGGGAAAAAAAGAGACAAGGCTGTAATTCTGTAACAGTAACTTACTGTAGACAATCAAAATTCGCAAGCAACAGGAAGTGAAGAAGAATATGGGAACTGCCTGGTGAGAAGATGCATTCGTTTACTGAGCATGCTAGTACAAACAGGTTCCCCACTGCTCCATTATGGAGCGTGTGCTCTCAATAATATACCATCAACAGAGGCCCTGTTGGAAACCAAAACTTGAAGTTTAAGTGTGTTCACAAGGCACAGGTTCTAAACAGTTTAAGAGCAGGATGTTTCCTTTTCAAGCTCTAAGTCGAGCAGAAGTTATGCTAAAAGTTATATAAAAATCTATTACTGAGTTTGCAACTAATGACAATTTGAATCTATTCCATGGCTCCCCATGCAAGTCTCAGACACACTGAGAGAGAGAGAGAGAGAGTGTGTGTGTGTGTATCTGTAGACAGACAGACACACACACACACACCCCATATATTTACAAAAATAAAAAATACAAGTGACATGAAAAAAGAAGCAAGGACAGAAAAATGATTTTTTTTTTTGCCCTCTCAGGTCAGAAACCATTGGCAGCCGATCCAAACAGTACTTTACTTTTCCCCTCCTACTTCCTCCGATGCGCTGATGTATCAGCAAATTGACATGCTAGAATACAGATGATAGCTGCCATTCTTGTGATCCAACCTGAAATGAAGTTTGTAGACCAAATCAGAGGCAGGTCACTAAGCAGAGAGCCTTAGGTATGAGTTTTAAAAAAAAAAAAAAAAATCACAGATAAACACAGCAAGTCTCTCACAGTGAAGATTGTTTTCACAGAGTTTTGGTCATCATTAATTTTAGCCCATCTGAATTCTTGTCTCGTTTGTGACCACAATAAAATACTTAAGATTGTTCAGCCACTAGCCATATGGCTCAATTGGCTGAGTAATCCAATGCCTCTTAAAAAAAAGGTCATCTTTGACAATAGCAATAATGGACTGTTGCACTGTGACCATGTGTGCGTGACCTTGTAATCTGGGAACACAAAGAGGGCTCTTTCTACACTAAATGTATGGCAACAAGAAAGGAAGGATGAGAGAAGTAAGGTGTTGCTTCAGTTGTTTGGCTCTCAGCCATGTTATTTATTAGAGCGGACTGAATGACTGTGCAGCAAATAATTAATTTCACCTTTTTTCTGTTGGCAAGTTTTCCATGCAAAATTCTCCAGTGTACTCATTATGCAAAATTCTCCATGGATTACTTGCTCATTGACAAATTGTTCACAAATATTCCTAATTCTCACATTGTTACATAAATCAGCCAATCAAGGAACAGAAATAATGTCATATGACTACTCAGGACAAGTTTCAAATTGCATATTTGGTTGCACCAGCCACACAGTTTGCATTGGGTCAGTAACATTGTAGTCACATAGTACTGTTAACGGTCCCCAATTGGCCAATTTAGCATGGTAGAAATTACGACTTGCAAACTTTACAAATATGCAATTTAAAACCTACCAAACAAAAGACTGGCAAAGAATCAAACTATAACCTCCTTGGCCAACCCATATCTCCACAAAGAAAACTGCACAAAACGTGCCTATAAATATTATTGCATTTGGGGTTATATTTAAGGGGTCAGGCATAGGGTTGCCAGGTGTCCGGAATGTCCAGTCAAAAAGGAAGCTTTGGTCAGCACCACTGACCGGGCTGTTAGAAGTCTGGTCAGTGGCAGAGTTGGACAAGGAGGCTCCCTGCTTGCCATGGCTCCGTGCGGCTCCTGGAAGCAGCAGCAGCATGTCTCCACTCCGGCTCCTATGCATAGGGGCAGCCAGGGGGCTCCTCGTGCTGCCCCCACCACAAGCGCCAACTATATAGCTCCCATTGGCCAGGAATGGCAGCCAATGAGAGCTGCAGGGGAGGTGCCTGCAAATGGAGCAGTGCACAGAGCCACCTGGCTGCGCCTCCGCGTAGGAGCCGGATGGGGGGGATGTGCCGCTGCTTCTGGGAGCTGCTTGAGGTAAGCGCCACCTGGAGCCTGCACCCCTGACTCCCCCCCATGCCCCAACCCCCTGCCCCAGCCATAGCCCTCATCCCCCTCCAAACCGCACAGTCCCAGCCCAAAGCCCCCTCCTACACCCCAAACACCTCATCCCTGGCCCCACACCAGAACCCACACCCCCAGTCAGAGCTCTCAGCCCCCCACTCTTCAACTCAACCCCCAGCCCAGTGAAAATGAGCAAGTGAGTAAGGGTGGGGAGAGTGAACAGAGGGAGGGGGGATGGAGTGGGTGGGGGCGGGGCCTCAGAAGAGGGGCAGGGCAGGACAGGACAGGGGTGTTTGGTTTTGTGAGAGTAGAAAGATGGCAACCCTAGACAGGCAGTGGATTAGAAAGACCACTTAATTAATGAGAAACTAATTTAACTAGGCAAAACAGGGAGATGGTGTAGTTCCACCCACACAGCTCCAGCAGTAGGCAATAAAACTCAACCAATAAAACACAGGCTGGAGGCATTACATCATTAGAATCATTATAAACTCCGAACATTCTCATTAGCTGAATAGACCCGGGGGCAGAATGATCATGTTTGTGATTGAAAAGACAAAATTAACACTCTGATAGACTGAAAGCCTCTACAGAATTGTCTTACAACATATATACTGGTGGGTGGGTGTCCCAATGCATAGGCTTCATAGTACACCTCAGTCTTCCAGGCTTCCGCAGGCGCTTTCAGCCTATGCAAAACTAATTTGCTTATAGAAGGGATTTGTTTTTTTGTTAACATCTCATTCATCTCAAATTTCCACTAAGTATTTACTTTAAATCCTTTTAAGCCTCCAATTTGAAAAGTTAATGACACAGGTTTTAACCATAATTACAGATGACAACAAGCGAGCTTCCTTTCATAATCCTGAATGCAAAAAAATTGCCTTCCCCTTTTGCAGTATTCATAGCATCCGCCTCACCCTGTTGTCCCAATGCACAGGCAGAAATAAGGGTTGGCATCTATGGACAAGAATGACTGTCTCTCGCAGCAGTGGATTCAAAAATCTCTCCTTGCAGTCAGAGGACTTAAAAACTGAACCCCCAAGATCTGTGCTGTAGAATTTCAGTTCAAATTCTTTGAAGAAGTCAACTTCACAGCATCTGAGTTCAGAAAGATCAAGGAGCAAGCACAGCATCAAAGCAAACTAGAAGTCTTCTCCTGACAGTATATTTTCTGATGAGTGGACATAAGCCATAACAAGATTCTAAGGTTAGTTCTATCCAACCTAGCTAATCTCATCTCACTGGAGATGAGCAAAGAGCAAAAATATTTTTTAAAAACCCCAGCAAACAAGAGCTACCTGCTGCTGTCATTGTGCATCTTATTCAAATTTGGAAACTATCATGCCAGTGGCTCCACTACCAGTTGCTAAATTAGTGCTCCAGGTAATATCTGCGGAAAACATCAAACACCACAGCGAATATGCAATCAGACAGTTGCCGTGTTCACATAGATGACAAGAGTCCAGGAGGAATCCAACCAGCCATTTAAAGAGCCCCTGAAACGGCTGATGGAAAAAGGAAAACTTTCTACCAATACACTTAGACGGCCTTCAGCATGTTAGCATCCAAGCACGATACAGTCAATGAATTCATCTTCACCACAGCATTGTGTGGGGTAGGAAATTAGAATTGTCCCCATTTTACAGAAGGGGAATTGGAGACAGAGCAAGGTTAAAAAATTTGCCCACCTGGAACGTATGCCACAGAGCTGGGAACTTAGCCTAGGTCTTGAGTATCAGTCGAGTGTCTTAACACAAAACCTGCCTTCATCTCTACAACTCCGACTCCTGTATTAAAGAGAGCTAATTAACAACTGCTTCTAACCTTGCTACAGTGCAAACATTACCTCGGTATCCCCATCTATAGAATACTTATACTTATCCACTTCACATGGACACTGAGGCATTTCAAAAAGGTTTCTGAAAGATTGTTAAATCTTTGGTTTAGATGGTGCAACAGAAGTTCCATATGTTAATAATTAGCTACAACCGGCTGAGTACACTGTCACAGGGTGTTTGCAATGGCTAACAGCATGCAAGCAAACAATTCACATCAAAATCCATGTAAGGGCCCAGTTCAGCAGAGTACTTTAGCCCACGCCTAACTTAACATCACTGGGACTACTCACAAGCTTAGAGCTAAGAGAAAAGGAGTACTTGTGGCTCCTTAGAGATTAACAAATTTATTTGAGCATAAGCTTTCGTGAGCTACAGCTCACGTGACTGGGTACCTTGCTCAACTGGAGCCTTGAGGTCCTTCTACCTCCCTCAATCCTAAGGCAGGTGGGAGTTCCACACTCCGCGAGGACAGTAACATTTGTTGCATTCTTGCTTTCACTTGCCCTGGAGTCCTGCTGTCCCTATTCGTAATGGATCACACAGGCTCACGAGGAAGTGCACAGACTGTCTGGAGAACAGAGAGGAAATGCTGAGGTTTCTTTCAAGTGTCCCACATGGTGAAATCAACATAAAAGCCTTTTAGCCACGGCAGAGATTTATTTAGGAAGCCTGGCAGCTAACTGTGCTGTTCTGACTCTTGGCTCCCTGAAAGCTCCCAGACCAAGAGCTGGCACCTCCAAAGCTGAACAATCCCACCATTCATTCCTAGTGCGCTGCAGGAGAAGGGCTGTGGGCGCTGAATGCCCTCAGCTCCTTCTGAATGCTCCCCTCTCTTCCATTGCACACACGTCAGACAGAATAGCCTTTAAGAAAGATTATGACAAGGACATGAACTTAAACCCCTTCCCCTCCAAACTCCTCTCAAATCTCATTTGTGCTCATCTCTCCATTGCCTATACCTCTTAATCCACCGCCACCCCTACTGGTGATAATATAGGGGTTGATCCCTTACTCCGGTAACTCTACACCTGTATTATCTAGCTGCGTGAAGCACCACCAACATAGGACTGGAGGGGACCTCCTGGTCATGGAGTCCAGTCCCCTTCTATCCCAGCACCCC